AAGGGGCGTCAAAAGCAAAATGGATTTGCTTCTCATCAGCCCCCACATTTCGCGCAGCTCAGTATGCCAATAGATTCCCCTCGGCGCTTCGATTCGAGTCCCGTCGTCTCGCTGTACCTTCTCGGGATTTGAAAGAAGGAGAGCAAATAGACACCCGAGACATTGAATGGCGATAAAACCCAGGTATGTTTGGTATCCCACTTGACCACGATGATTGACCTTATGGTTGAGGCCCAGCGAAATAGCGCCACCGATGACGTTTCCGAAGTTGCGGAAGGTGAACCACGTCGCGATGTAGCGGCCTCTCTTGTGCTCTTCAGGGTAACCTGTCGCGATAGCACCCTCCACGCCCCAGAAGAATCCCGCGCTGATGCCGCAGGCTACTGCGCCGACGTAGACGAACCACGTAGAGCCAAATCGATTATTGACATAGAGACCAGCCGCATATAGTGGGTATCCAAGTGTACCTAGCGACAAGGTCCAGCGGAACCCAACCGCATTTGTCAACCACGGAGAGAGGAAACATGTTACTGTCATGAACGCATACAACAATGCGTTGGCGGTGTTGACAAGATCCGGACTCTGGGAACCGCCCACGCCGAGGCCATTCATAGCGCTCCATATTCCAGGGGCCGAGAAGGCGCAAATACCAACGACGAGGATTTGGAAGAGCGTGCGGCGAAAGAATGGAATATGATTCAGACTCGAGGGGATGCTTTCCGCATTTGCGACTGTGATGGAACTCTGAGGAGCTTTATCGAGCCCATCTTCTGCGACGACTGGTTTGCCAGACATGGCGACTGATATTGGATAGTGGTGAGAAGAGTCTGCAACAACTCTCAATCAGGTATATTCAAGCCAAATGCTTGACGAGTCGAGTACTTTAAAGTATGGTTATTTGGAAATAAATATTTTCCTTAAGCCAACTCCTATGGCCGCCACTTTCTCGCCGAAGATAAGTTTAAACCCATATGAATGCGCGTCTCTGGTGCCCTAATGTATAGTAGGTATTTGGATATCATCTTTCGCCTCAATGTTATCTTAAACAGAACATACGCGAGATTCTAGAAGTCTGACGTGCTGCCTATTGACAGGGGAATGGAGCGCACTGATACCCTCTAGATAGATACCATGCTCCTTCCACATGTCAAACGTCCGAAAGAACCTCCAGGGAACGCGGGGTTATCGAGACTGGCAGTCCCTAATGCTACCTCGCTAGAAGTTAATTGTGGATGGTTTCACGCTCCCCAAGAAATGACGTGATTTTAGTCTAGAAATCGACTGGGTTGCATGGTATGATAGGCCGGACGCTATCGCCGACGTGATCCGATAATGATTATCGCGGACTATGTCGGTTTGACTTTATTTGAAATACATTAAGCAGGTATATCCTGGAAGAATTGGCTCTCCTATAGCTTCTATATACTCCGTACCTAAATTCCTAATTAACATCGACCATCATCATGGCTACTACTCTGAAGCAGACGACGATACAGCCGTTCGATACGGGGAGGATAACCTCGCCCTTGCTAAGTTTCGAGCAATTTGATCTCCCAGCAAGTAATCAACGCATACTTGGACCGCCTCATCCAGAAGGGACTGTCACCCCTCTCGCTTTACGCCCATCAACAGTTGATGATGCTGAACCTGATCTCGACACTGTTATCGAAACGGTGAAATACTTACAAGCACAGGGCGATATTCTCACCAAGAAGCTCGCTGTCCATGGAACACTGCTGTTTCGAGGGTTGCCAATTCATGACGCGAATGAATTCAGCAGATTTGCCCATGCCTTTGGTTATAAGCCGCGGTATGTGTAGGTACCTAATAGAAGACCCTACGCCAAGACATGTTATCTCTCCTTATCCTTCACCATCCACTTATATATCCCAGAAGCTAACTTATTCGTAGTATGTATCGATTATCTTTCATTTTCCGTATATATCATAACTCCTTCCCCCTTTATGTAGTCAGATTCAAATTGCTCATGCTGAATATTGACGCAAAATAGATGAAATTATTGGAATCGTGGTTGATAGACCACTACTTGCGCCCAACGTAGCTCCAGCCAATGAATCGCCGAAGGAAGTCCTAATCTACAACCACAACGAATCTCCCCAAGTACCTCACGCCCCTGAGTACATCTTTTTCTATGGACATAGCGTAGCCAAAAAAGGCGGCGAGACACCAATCTCCTCGTCACTAGAGCTGTTCCATCGAGCTCAACAGGAAATCCCCGAGTTCATCGAGGAGCTCTCCAAGAAGGGAATTCTGAGCAGGGTCACTTACAAAGTCGACAAGCAATATGCTGGCGGCTCGACGCTGAAGCAGGCATTCGGGAAGGAGATCCAAGACGGAGACGATGAAGCGACTAAGCGCGCAAAGATCGAGGCCCAGATTGCGCGATATGGTAGGGGCAAATACACCACCTGGGAGTGGACCGACGACGGGGTCGTCCTAACGCATAAACTCCCCGCAATTCGCACGCAGCCTGGCACAGACCTGCCGACACTTTTCACCGGGCTTGCTGCATACTGGAAGAACGCCCAAGTGAACGGAGCCAGGTCGAACCCCACGCAGCAGCTCTTCGGAGACGGCACGCCGATTCCGGAGGAGTACCTCGCGCGGCTTGCGAAGATCACGGACGAGATCCGCGTGCTGCACAAATGGCAACGTGGTGATGTCCTGGTCTACGATAATATTATCGCGCAGCATGGGCGCCAGCCGTGGGAAGGGGAGCAGTCTGATCGGGTCATCATGGCGAGCTTGTTCGATGGAGAGCAGGTTCCCGGCGCGTACATTTCGGAAGATTGGGCTCAGGTTGTTCAGGCTCTTGACGGATAATTCCATTGCACAGCTTAACTGGAGTGGTATATCAGCTCCAGACGGATTACTATTGGAATTTTGTACCGATCGTTTACTGATGGTGTGAACCCCCCCTTTTCTAAGCGAGTAGCTTACATAATCATACTAGAGATCCCCTATTCCACCCTACTTCCATTCTATGCGCTTTGCGATCCGAATTATATAAGTTGTTTATCACTCAATGTATTTTGAAGTTCAATTATTGGGCTTCAATCGTTGGAGACAGAATGTAGCAACCTCTGATCTACATGGCACCCCAATCTGAGGGATAAATGTTAGTGGGGAAGCATGGCTCGAATCGAATGTCACCACTCACATATTCCGAGTGGCTCAAGGCGTATTACTTATTATATATACTTATAATAATGTCTGGGACGTTTTAGTGTAGCTTGAAGCTGCTATTTATCTATAGTAGTATCGTCATTAGAATCCCTGTTGTTGATCGCGATTAGAATTTACCCGACAGTTTTATCCGCGTCGCGACACTTCGACCGATGAGCCGCATAACTGTCAGGGACACATGGAGGACTTCAAAGCTTCATAAAACTCCTTCACATAATGGTTTCTTGGTACGTCTAGTCAATGGTCTGGCGAAAATACGAGATGCGATTGTAAGTAAGATGAGCGCCGTACCTAATATTCCTGCGTGATGCCGCCCTACCGCAGAACTTTCGCAGCAATATGCGTCCTCGCTCCCCTCATTTACATCTACTGGTGGAGATTCACGACACCCCATACGCTTGAAGGACATGGGGATTTGCTCACAAGAGAAGATGTGTTCAATAAGACGCTAGGTGTAAGACCCCCTTTTAATCCTCTGCCCCCTTTATTTGTGTAACCACGACCTAACTCTACCCAAAGTTCTCAAAGATATTCGTCATCAATCTGCCATCGCGGTCAGACCGTCGAGATGCGATGGCCCTAGCAGGTGCCGTTAGCAACCTCACCTTCACATGGATTGATGGTGTGTCAGGCGATCAAGTGCCAGATCGCGTTGTTCCTCTTGGACAAGGAGGACGCTCTTCTGGGGCGAAGGGCTCTTGGAGATCGCATATGAATGCATTACAAGCCGTTGTAAGAGGGAACCTGCCAAGTGCGCTTATTATGGAAGACGATATCGACTGGGATATACGCATAAAATCGCAACTTCGGACCTTCGCATCAGCCTCGAGGACTTGGTTGAGAGAGTCAAAGTCGGATAAGCACCAAAAGGAATTGCTCGACCTCGTCCCACCGTCACTTATTAGGAGGACATACACCGCAAACGCCATGGCGGGTAATGCTGAAAAGGATACTATACAGCTAACTTCCGTGACGGGAGCTGATAGCAGAGCTTACCGAACTGTGTACGGAGACGATTGGGATGTTCTGTGGCTGGGCCACTGCGGTGCCGATTTCCCTTCTGATAAATCTCCAATGTCACCCCTGAGAATCGCAATCGCAAACGACGAAACTGTCCCGGCTCCGAAGCACCTCAAATCTCACCCGTTTGCCCTATCGGACAAGCTTGGCGAAGTGTATCCGCCACATACCCGTATTGTCCACGCGTCTAGCGGCAACGTATGCACTCTAGCCTACGCCGTCAGCCACCAAGGAGCCCGCAAACTGCTTTCGGAATTTGATGACCATTACGACACGCAGTGGGATTTGATGTTACAGAAATGGTGCGAGCGGAAGTACGCTACCGAAGACAAATCTCAGGAAGATTTGGACACGAAAAGGAGTAAGGGACTTCGAAAAACTCATCCAGTGTGCATCACAGTGCAGCCGCCCCTATTCAGCCACTACTACGCTAAGGGCGGTGGCTCCAACATTCAAGGCCAGGGTGGTGGCTATGCAAAAGGTACGGGGTCGCCGTATATAAGGTTAAGTGTGCGAGAGAATTTGAAGCGCTTGGTCACTGGAGCATCACAGAGTGACATGGTAGATCAACTGCCTGATGATGGGAAGACCATATGGAATTAGATGAGAATTGAGTCACCCTGTTGCGAGGAAATTGCGTTTCTAGGTTAAAAAGCACCTGCTTGTATCTACCTATCGTACATGCCATCTGCGCATCACGATATCATTGCACAAAGGTTTAGCAACATTAACATCGAAAAATAGATGAATAAAACATGAAAAGGGCAAAAGTTTGGACCTGCAGGGAATCGAACCCTGGACCTCCCGCAGTTTGCATGCTTGACCATGCTAAGCGGACATTCTACCACTGGACTACAGGCCCTCTAGTTGTTGAAAGATATGATTGCGAAATAGAGTTATGAGGCAAGCCCCGTACACGGTATGAAAGGGGAAGGTATCGCAGAGGGAAGGAGCGGAGGGCAGGTGGGTGGTAGGTGCATTGCCAGGTGCTTGCCATACAAACATACCTCATACCTCTACCCCTAAACACGTGTATTTTCTACACCTAGTCACAATCAACAAATATGGACAATCATCTACCTACGTAGGTACCCAAAGCATTATAGATAGTATGTTATTATTCATCAATCGACTAGGTTACTCCCAAGCTTCCCGAGGTCCTTATGTTATGATATTTACTCCTGAGCTGGACTGTGTCCTCCTTTTATTAGGGGTCACAAGAGTCAGCTACTACTGACCTGCTACACTGGCTCCAATCCGAGTAGGTACGTCATTTTAATGGCTAGTAGCTTCAATTGTTATTCTTTAAAAATATACTGGTATGTAACATATAGCTAGCTCGTTGAGGCGAGCAAAGGCATTCTATCTAATTCACTATTTCGGAGGCGAACCTTCCAGGATTTCCCTCATCTTCGAAAGCGCATCCTTCTTGTGGGCATCTAGATCGATATTGAGAAACTCCCAACGCCTCGCGAGCGCATTTCTGAGCCCATCAACGGTCATGGCAACCTCCTTATTCTGACCCGTAAATATCTCCCCGGTGCCCCTGCTTGAGTCGATGACTCTCTGGCCCCTCGGTCGCCTCACCGCGTCGTATGCCTTGAATGCCGCATCTATTTCGTCCGCACTAGAGATATTCGCAAGGAGTGTTCCAAGAATGGCGGCGTCTTCGAAAGCCTGTCCCGCGCCCGCGCCTTGCCAGGGGGTTGTCGCATGAGCAGCATCGCCCATAATGCACATTCGGCCATTGGCGTACGTTGGTGTCGATTTATGCTCGTACTGCGAATAACCCTGCGGGTCGGGCTGGTCGAGCAACAACTGTATGCTATTTAGCAGGCTGTAGAGTTAATATTCTATGGCTTGCGAAGTAGGACTGTGGCTTACGTCGATAATTCCCTTCGCGATCGACCCATCAGGCCAAGTATGAAATGCTTCGGCCAATAACTCGCGCGTGAGAGGGCGCTTTCTATTAGCAGGTGGATCTTTCTCAACGGCTGATATCACGCCTTGAACCATCGATCCATTTTCGAGCACATCGTGCAGCACGAAGACCCCGTCGCCAGCCCAGAGATGCTGTCTTGGGACCTCAAAGTACTGCTCCCCCAGTATGGCCTTGGCCTTGGCAATTGGGACTACAACTCTGCTGTCCCACTGCGAAGTCGTAAGTTTCGGCCTATATGCTAAGGAACACAAAATCGGCGGACTATGTAAAGCTATATGCCACCGGACTTTCAACTTACCCATCCTCCTGGTGAAACAGCACAACTCTCTGCTACATCTTGCAAAACGTATTTTCGGACCGAACCAAAGATGCCGTCCGCACCTATAACAGCATCGAACCGAGATGTTGTGCCATCTTGGAAGGTGAGTTCGGCGCCATGGCTGGTTTCGGCGATCTCGGTAACCCTCTTATTTGCATGTAAACGCTCCTTGGGTAGCGGCGCCAAGAGCTCTCGCAGAAGTGATGCACGATGAACAATCAACTCCTTCTCATCAGACGCGCCGAAATCGCCGACCAGAGAACCAGCGTCCGGTCCCGAACCCTTGGCTAAGATTAGCTTATACCATCCATATCAAGACCGGGTTGCGACACGTCGCGCACCAGCATAATGCGGGTTGAATTGATGGGGACTGCACCCGCTTTGGTGAGGGTCTCTCGCGCTGCCGGCAGGACATGCTGTAAAGCTATGAGGGCGTTGCCCGAAAGCCCGACTGCGGCGCCACGCTCCGAGAATTCCGGAGCAGACTCGAAAACGTGTGTTTCAAGGTGATCCAGGCCGAGAAGGCCGTTCGCCAGCGTTGCTCCGGCAAAGCCACCGCCCACGATCGCAATGCGGATAGATGGTACAGCCATCCCGGGTGTTCATAAAAGACGTAGCAAGTAGGAAGAAATAATTAGAGTAAGATCTCATGGAATAGAGAACATCTAAAGTTGTAGGACGAGTGTCGGTAAGGTAAAACGATATAGTAAATAAAAATAGTTCGTCTATCGTAGATCGACGTGATGTGTCGTCGTGCGTGCGGCACAGCGAGTGCTAGTACCTACAAGGTAGTAGATATGCTTTGGTTTGTCTAGCGACTTACCTATGGCGGCCGACAACATGCACTGGCCTCGGAAGAGCGATGAGATAACTCGTGGAGGCACTTCGTGATGGCATTATCCATACTGCTAGGCGATGGTTGAAGCTCGCAGGGCGTAGGGTAAGATGTTGCGGACGCCTCGGTAATAAATTGCTTCGGCGACATTTTTGTCGCTTTAAATCAATGGAACATCCCATACTCATGAGTACCTAGGTAATAACTCTCTCTCTCTCTCTCTCTCTCTCTCTCTCTCTATAAGGTATTCATTCATCTTACGGATTATATAGGTCAAAATAATTAAAAAAGAAGACACTCCCCAAGTTCCGGGAAGATGAAAAAGAGAATTAACTTTAGAGACGTGCAACAATATAAGCAAAAAATGTTGCCCACTACTGGAATCGAACCAGTGATCTCATCATTATCTATTACTAGTGATGCGCTTTACCACTGAGCCAAGCGGGCAGATCCCAAACGACATAGCAACTGACTCTGGGCGGTAAAAACGTCAGCATACAATGCCTATAAGGGCCAGATCACGTGGTGTATACCACAACTACACACGTAATTTTTTTTTCTTCACAACCGCTCAGCCACTCCCATTCCATCGTCGGAAATCCGATGCATCTAGTTAATACTCTTGGCCTCAACTACTCCTTCTGCAACTGAGATCTGTCGGGAAGAGGCAGGCGAATTTAATGCCTGAGCTCTCAAATTCAACTTGCGCCGCCAGTCGTTGCACGCGCGGACTCTGGGGTGGAGACTTGGCATCCGGCTACTTCAGCCATTCGTGCGCTCTCGTGCGCTCTACGAAGTGCCTATCTGTTGACCAAGACTTGCGCCCCTTCCTCGATGATCTGGGGAACGAGGACTGGTATTATTATATGATTTTCCCTAACGGAATTCTAAAAACAAGTCAGAGACTATATGGTCTGCTTTATGAAAATCATCCAGCGTGCATAGAGCTTGTGGAAAAGATGACGCTCAACTGCAACGAGAGGTACAAGGCTATGTTGGATTCTATTAAGCCCGCGAAGCCTAACTGTGGACGGAGTATACAGGAAGTGCTGTCTGTCTCATACCCGCCACTATCTTCATCAATAACTCCAAACCCCATCCTCATTTCTCGCGAGAAAAAGCCCTCTCGAACCAATATCAGACGCCCATATAACCGAATACATTTCGCTTCCGCATCTCCACCACAGCCATCTCAAAATAATTGCCTCCCTAATTGTCGATCAATTTCCTGACCTCCTCCAGCACCTTTAGCTTCTTTAGCTCCTTGTCCGCCTTAGAGTAAGCTTTCTCAGCCTTTTCGACGGCCTGTTCCTGCGCCCTGATGGGCTCCGAGAAGTCCTTTATGGGAGTCTTCCCGCGTGCTTCCCTCGCGGCCGACGCGGCGTCCGTGGCCATCTGTTGATCCACCTCACTCATGCTGTCTTTCAGCTTTTGCAGCGCTTCCATTTCTTCCTCGAACGCTTCCTTGAGCTCGTCTCGCTTCTTGGTCTTGTCCTCGAGCTGCTTGGTTCGAGCGTCTGTGTTGTTGTGTTCCGACATTGTGTGGTTAGGTCAAGGTAACCCTGCCTAGATGGTATTTTACGACCAGTTGAATGCTAGCAGCAAGTTGTGAGTGCTGTGATATATCGAGTATTGTCTTGGGTTGAGCCAAATGGATTCTACAAGATTGCCTTGCTCGTTGCTCTATCGTTTTATATATTCTGTTAGGCTTCACGTCGGACATCGCTTTTTACGGATTACCTACCTCAGGGAACCACGTTGGTTACTCGCTCACTATGGACGCATAGGATCTGACATACAACGTTTCTGCAAGAGTTAACGATGAATCAGGGGCTGAGAGCGCACAACAACAACCTAGCGCCGTACTCGGAGAGTGATTCATATTAGGGTATATATCAAACAATCAGTATTCACTACTAATTGGGTAGACAAACTGTTATACAACAATCACATATACAAGCGGATGATAATTGCCTACGGGCCAAGGAAGGTAGCAAGAGTTTATCATCTCAACTACCGGCAAGACCAGACGTACTTGCCCAATTCTCAAATTGTGAGTTAGGTATTCACCTAGGCAGTGAGCCCTCGGAGGGAGGAAGGTAGGCATACCTCTGCGAGGGTCTGGCGCGTTAACACCAGTACTGAGTAAATTCTGAACTTCTCGGCTTGCTATATTGTGTCATATAGACTGTTGAGTCGAGGTTGACTATTGATCAAGCGTAGCGAATCTTTTCTTTAGAACTACTCCAGCAGAACCTACCGACGAAAAGGGGGAGGGAATAACGAGCTATGCATGTGGCATCACAGCCAACTCAACACCGAATGACGGCCACAAACACGTAAACTCTAATGCATTCAGCTTATTCGCGGCGAGAAACATATATATTCCGTGATTCATGTCGTAGTCTATTGGTCTTCTAGCTCTCATCGAGCTATGCTAATACGAAGCCCATTCTATCATGCCATTCCGCCATCCGTCTATGTTAACGCCTGTATTATATGAACCCTGTATGCATCGTCGACTTTAATGCCAATCTTCCAAGCCTCCTCGATTCTATCGATAGCCTGAGGATCTAAGAACAGCCAAGTTCAAAAGGGAAAGCCACCAACCCGCTACACAGGAAAAGCGCACGAAAAATTGTTCAAAAAAAAAAAAAAAGGCTCGAAAGAGAACGAGCCGGGTTTAAGTCCTCGCCTTACTCCTCGTCGTCCGTATCCGGGAATCTGGGCGTACCCTTGGGACTGTTGAGCCATTCGATATGGCGC